CCTCAAACTCTTTGTATTATAAATTCACAAGTCATTAATTCATCCCAAACGTCTTTTGTTTTATTTGTTTATCAATTATTCATTCAAGACAACATCTTACAAAGATTAGATATCATTTCCATAAATCTCGTAAATCGACTGCAAGATCAAAACAAAAAAGATTAAAGATCAAACACAAAAATCAATACCTTCACCAATAAGCCTTTAGAATTTTGATGTTGGGAAGAGATGGCCGGAGTTTCAGTTATTCAAGAATGAATCACACGAGGAAAAAGAAGTTCAAAGTTGTTGAAAAGCAAGTTGCACAATCAAAGAGGTTCTTCAATGATTTTTAGGTTGGAGTCTAATAAGATTTAGTTGTATTGTACTAATGTAACTTAACTCTTCTAATAAACTGCTTTACAAGATTCGTCCAGAGGTTTTTGATTAGAGTAATACTATTTGCAATCACTCACTATTATAATCGTCTTATGTAGCATATATGTGACAGTTAGTGATTTGATACATCAATGTGATAGCTTTTTATTATCTTATGCAACAAATCACGAATCATCACATGTATATCACGTAAGACGACTGCAATATTGAGCGACTGCAATTAGCATTATTCTTTTGATCTTTGTGAAGAGTTTTTCAATGCGTTTTAATTCATTATCATATTTGGTATTCTTTACTTTTATGCTTTTGATTTATATTGTATGATTGACACTTAAGATTTAGTTCGATATTAAACTTAATCATCTAGAAACAATAAATGAGTAATTTGTTACTTTTTATTGATTGATTATTTTAATGCCACATTATACACCTCTAAGTGTAGTTGGGTCTCAAAGTCGTGCTATATTCTTTTCAATGGCCAATTTCTTCGTATATTCTAGATAATAAAGTCACGAAGATACGAGGTTCTATTTATAGTTTTAAAATTTGTGATAACATTTGAAAGAAAATAACTAATTACCCTTTTTAGGAAGTGTCAAGATGAGAGAGAATAAATATTAATTAGCCTTTATTAATCATCATTTCAAGTCACATTATTCTCTTACTAAATCCATATGTTTGTAATTTTAGGAAAGATAATATTGAACTACAACCTAGTTTTTGAAAGAATTTTAAAATTTGATATTTTTGAAATTATATTTTTAATATATACTAGTAATGATTTTTTAACAATAGAATATGTGAAAGGGAAAATTACCTAAAACCAGAGGTTTAAGATTTAACTATCATAAATCATGTGATTAAGAAATTTTTGTAAAAACCAGGTATTAAAAACTAAAACCATTTCTCTCTCTATTTGCATAGTAGAAAGGCAATGGAATTATAAACTGTTCACCTCGGGAATTGGACATTCCACGTGGCCAACGGATAGCTACTCTACGTAATCCTCCCTACGCACAACAACGCAAGGTCAGAAGCACATGGTTGGAACAAACGGTGGTGGTGACGACAGCATACACTCTGACGGTCAAGTCAGTGTTAGGTGATCGGAACAGTGCTCAAGTTATGCAAGAGAGTGGGGATGAGAATATATACTTCTTGGTATTGAGAGCTAAGTTATAAGAGTTTCATTACCTTTGTCTCTTACTAAACCTTGGGTATTTATAAATGTAGAGCACCGTTGGATGTGAGACATGTGTATGCATCTGACGGTGTGAAGCGTCTGCTCATAGGTGTCAATTAGCCGCATCTAGTGTGGGCGGGCAATTAGTTCTTTTGAGTTGAGTTGATATAAAGTTGATATGTCATATCAACTAGACCCATGAAGACGTCACATCAAGATCCTGACAGATATCTTTCTGACAGTGGCGGCAGAGTGATCTGTAAAGGGAGTGCCCCGGATCCTTAAACGCTTCGGCGTAAGAGGCACTTCGGTTGCTTCATTGGATCTACTATTCACCTTGCAGCGCGCCATGTTGAGGCCGTCACGAATTGGTATCACTTCAAAAACACTTTGAATGTACACGTGTCACTTCGGAGAGTGTTGTGACTATTGTGCCGAAGTGATTTAGTTAGGGGCGTAACAGTGGTTCCTCCAAGTTCAGGCACGAATATGCATATCATCGGTGGACTTGTTTTCTCGAATGTGTATGCCGGCCTTAAATTTTGCGGATTCTGATGAATTGCTAATGTGAAAAGATGAAGTAAGAAGATGTGTCGGATAGCTATTGACTAAGACGGAGTGATGACAGGTGATGTGGATAAGGTGTCAATCGATTGCGTTGAAACTTGTAAAGCTGGGTGAAGAGCTCATCTGCCATCGATGCACTGACCCATAGGGGTCGACGCGTTGGAAGATGGCGAACGCATTATAAAGCTGAGCCGTGTGACCAAGGCGGTGACCCACGGAGGACTCCGCGTCAGTGGCGTCGAAACTTTAGGAGTGGGTGAGGAGCTCATCTGCCACCGGTGCGCTAACCCACAGGGGATGACGCGTTGGGGGATGGCTAAAGCCTTGTGAAGCTAAGGAAACGTGTGACCGAGGTGGTGACCCACAAGGGACTCCACGTCAGTTGCGCTAAGGCTTGTAAATGTGGGTGAAGAGCCCATCTGCCAATCGTGCGTTGACGCACAAGGGACGACGCGTTGGGAGTGGCTAAAGGCTTGTGAAGCTAAGGAAACGTCTGATCGAGGCTGTGATCCACAGGGGACTTCGCGTCAGTTGCACCGAATCTTGTAAATTTGAAGAGTGCATTCATCTGAGGCGAATCGGGATAGATTATCTCTGATCTGAAGTGTCGTTATGACGCTAATCGATGTGATAGCTGTCATGTATTTCCAAAGCGACAGTTGGATGTGATGCCTGTCCCCGAAAAAGGGCTGCTGCGACTACTTATTGTTGACGGCTGCTGTTTGTTCGAGGCGACGCGTTTTACCCGTACGTGAGGGGCACAGTCAAATCCTGGGCGTTGATCAAATCTGGCGTTTCATTTGAACAATCCAAATTTATGATGAGATCAATGGTCCAGATTGACATCCGTTTGAATTCAACTGCGATGATCATTTGAGGTCTTTTATGAAAGGAGAACTTATTGCCATTTCAACATTTTACCTTTGCGAACTCATAATTCCCTTTGTTTTCCGAATTGTTGGCGATTTCCGGCGAGTTTCAAGCGTTTTCCGACGACATTTCCATTTCCTGGCGTTAGGACATCCATTCTGGTCGAGTTCCGTAAGTATTTCTGAGTTTTCATTACTTTTTCTGAAAAAACATGGCCTGTGAGGGTAGGGGACGTTCCGGAGGGGACCTTGAGGTTGTCAGGGCCCGTTTTGGGCACTTCGACTGAAATTTTCGAGGCAATTATAAGGGGGAGAACATCTGGAGACGGCCAGATAGCCCGGTAGATACTTCGGTTCATTGGGGGGTGTGCGACTATCGTTCCAAATTGAAGTCGACCAACTTGGCTAGACTTAGGACTGAGTATAGGATTCCGAATAGTGTAAGTCTTATATTACCGGGGCCGGATGAGCGAGCTTGCTACCCCAGGCCGAGGTATGTGGCGGTTAGCGAAGCCATACTTAGGGCGGGGCTCAGACTACCAATCCAACCCTTCTTTAGGTACGTGTTGAAGTCTTATGGCTTAGCCCCTACCCAGTTAAATCCGAAATCCTGAAGCCAAATGATGGGTTCATGGACGTTGTGGAATGAGGCATCTTACGAGAAGGAGATGCCCTTCTCCGTCTTCCAAACCCTGTGTATACCTAAGGTCGCAACTGGGGGGACAAAACGAAAAGGTGGTATTACTTGACCTCCTGGGGGGGCCCATACTCCATTCGTTCTCGACCTGCCGAGCTCCATAAAAGATTGGAAGAGTTCATGGTGCTGGACTTCAGGGAGGTGGGATACGATGGAGGGGGACCCCCTGGCACCCCTGAAAGCACCAACAAAATACGCAACTCTTAGTGAGTACTGAAACTTCAGATATACTTGTATACCTACCACTTCGAGTTCCGAATTTAACTGTGTATTTCATGCAGCTACACTTCCTCGGTATTAACCTATCTAGTTAATACCACCTGATTTTTGAAAGAATTTCACAAATTAGAAATAATGCATCTTCTCCTATGTGAAACTCAACTAGGGCCGTGTCTGTGATGGGCTGTTACCGAGGTGTTCTGGAAATTAGAAATAATGCATCTTCTCCTATGTGAAACTCAACTAGGGCCGTGTCTGTGATGGGCTGTTACCGAGGTGTTCTGGAGTACAACCTAAGGTGGGGCCAAAGTTTACTTGTATCACTCTTTTGTGAACACTCACTTTTTTCCCACTTTATAAAGTTCAAAGAATATTTACGTGCAAATAGAAGTTCCCACCAGCCTAACCCAGGCCAGACCAACATAGAACAATATATACGGTAAATTTTATACAGTAAAGGACCCCTACTTATCTTAAACGCACAAATTTCTGGAAATTAGAAATACTGCATCTTCTCCTATGTGAAACTCAACTAGGGCCGTGTCTGTGATGGGCTGTTACCGAGGTGTTCTGGAGTACAACCTAAGGTGGGGCCAAAGTTTACTTGTATCACTCTTTTGTGAACACTCACTTTTTTCCCACTTTATAAAGTTCAAAGAATATTTACGTGCAAATAGAAGTTCCCACCAGCCTAACCCAGGCCAGACCAACATAGAACAATATATACGGTAAATTTTATACAGTAAAGGACCCCTACTTATCTTAAACGCACAAATCATGATTTTTCGCCGTTCTGGTCACGCTGAGTCATATCTATCCAACCTTTACCCATCTACCAACAGGTGTTCGATAGAATGGCGGGGAGGGATTTCTTTCATGCATTCCAACACGATTTTGGGTACATTTCTAGCTACACTCGAACTGTTGACCTGTTATGATGCCAAGAGCATTTGCCAAAACAAGCTCTCATCGAGCTTTTGTAAACAATTATACAAAGATAATTTGAGCTTTTCGACCAACCACAAATTCAACATCAAAAAGTCAATAAGATGACAAGATAAATGGAAAATGAAAAACCTCACAATTCTTTTTGCCTTAATTTTCAAGTGAAATAGATCAATAAGATAATCATTATTCTTATGATATTGCCATTATGAACACTTACAAAGGCGATAAATTTGATCCTGTAGACCGGATTGAATAGATTCATTCTTCAGCCTATTGGAAGAAAGTGTGTTAAATTTATTTATCTGCAACGGCTGAATGACATATCTTGTTTCTAGAATTACAAATCTTGGAGCCATGTAAATTGGATGTATAGACAAAATCGGAAAGCAAAAGTTTCTCAAATTTATCTTAAGCCGGGAACTTAATCTAATGCCCATGTATATCAAAAAAGGAAATAGAAATACCAAATGTATTATAGAGGTGAAGAGAGGCTGAACTGCACACCAGTCTTTCCTCGATCATGCTCGTGTTGTTTCAGAATGTAGCAGTAGTTAACCTGATAATCATGTCAAAATGTCAGGAATTTTCAATATAAATCAGGTTGAAACGAGTAGAGAAATGAAATAAAGATGAAGTTCAATCCTTCATGGCACACTATAAATTGATTTGAATCACATTTCATTCAAAAATGAAGGTACAGTTTCTGCTTTTCTTTCTCTTCTTCAATCATTATGGTATTGATTGAGCATCACAGTACTCTTAGCTGCTTCCCTTAGTCTACTACTAAAATTACATGCAAACGGTTTGCAATTACTTTGACTTAATGTTCGGTAGAGATTTTTTGAGAACAGATTTGTCAAAAGTGAATTTTCTTATGCTTATTTAAACACCCATTATAAAAATCGAATAAGAATGGAAGTCTAATTTGCAAAAAGAAATGTAAAATCGATCAACAAAGTAACAAATAATAAATTAACATAGTACTGACCGCATAACAAACACAAATCAGAAGACAAACCTTAAATGGCCGTCAAAGAATGAACATTTAGCCACCTTCAAGAGCATTTAAAAAAATTGCTTTTACTAGCCATTGTTTGGAGCACTACTATTACCCATTTGGTCCACAAGACGCCACATTGCTGTGTGGTAACATTTTACTATTTTATATAGGAAATACATGTCCCAGTGTCATGCCTAACATTGTGAACATTAAAAATGTTTCACAGCACAAGCATTTCAGAAGCATAGTAGACATATAAAACTACATTTAACTTTTGTGAACATTAAAAATGTCTTATGTCTCACAGCACAGGCATTTCAGAAGCAAACATATGAAACTACATTTAACAATCTCAATGTGATATCGTTTCTCCCTTTTTTCCAATTTAAACAGCTTAAACTGGAGATAGAACTAATTAATCACTTCTAGGAGCCTGGGCATAATGCTACCTATAGGTGGTGTGAGACTAAGCCCCAGTTTGGCACCCATCAAATTAATTTTTATTTTTCTCTATCTTATTTTCAACCACACAATCTTCCATAATATAATATTACACGTAAATCGAAAACTTTTTCTTCTTTTTCAACCACACATTCTCCAAAAAAATACTATTGCACCCATTAAAATTTGAAATAGTGGGGGCCAAACGGTGGCTAAGACTTACTCAGTGTATGCACACTTCTTTCTTCCACCAGAGACAACTCCAGAAAATTGAAAATGGAATTTGTGAGGATCATAGGATAAAATTATAACTAACCTCCATCCGGAATAACTTAGTCGGTACAATGATTCCAAATCCTGCTGAGCTTCTGAAAGAATCTCGGAATTCTGGGAAAGAGAACTCCCTGTGTGCATTCTCCGTCAATTTAGTCAAGCTTCCAGTGCAAGCAAAGGCATGAGCATGAATGCCAGCTTCCCTGAACACCTTCAAGGGTAGATCAAAAGATAAGTCCGCAAAAGCAGTGATAGCAAGGTCTCCTCCAATAAAATCAATTCCAGAAGAAACAGAGCTTTCATCAATAAGGTTTTCCCCGGCGTTCCGTCTAGGCTCAGTAGAGCCCAGTCTCCTTGCCTTAAAACCCAACAATGATGTTGGGCCACCCAAGGTGCAAACTGGAGAAGAATTACCTCCCATAAAGAACCTCTCAGGCAACTGGGAAGGTGTATTCAAGAATCCACTCCCCCATGGAAGAAGAACACCACTTGAGATTCCAACGTTTAATGCAGCACGATAAAATCCCAAGGGTATAGCATAACGAAGATCAAACTCCTGTTCAGGAAAGAACTGCCAGATTTCACATTAAGAGTAATAACATTTGTTAGGTGACGTGATTATAGAAGGCGGCAAAAATTATCAGTCTAGTCCAGGATATCCTCCAACATCACAACTATACTGCCCAGCAGTTTATTCCATATGCTGCCCATAAAGATGATGAACGATTTGTACATGATTAAGGTGAAAATTTTGTTTCAGAGAGACCTCTAATCGGTGAAATATACGACAGATTGTGTTATAATAATAATAATAATAATACTAAGTAGATCTACCCACAACATGGGAAAAGAAATAATATGTTCAACTTATCCACCCAGTTTGTGCCTAAAATAGAATATAGTCACGGTGCAGATTTAGAGAATTCAGGTGAAAAGGCATGGGCATCTGCAGATCGTCTTAAGAGAGTGAAACTGAGATAATGCTAGCAAGCAAATAACTTTGAAAGCACTAATAAAAAAACTAAAAAAGACATACAGAGTGAAACATAATTAAAGCAAAAGTTTGTCAAACCTGACGAATAAAACGTAAGCTCCGAAAATCTGGAACAAGACCACCAATTTGAGTAGTGGAAACAAAAGCATGTCCACGAGTTGGCCTCAGAGGTGAATCTCTTTGGTCAATTTTAAATGTATACTTCAAAGCTGAGAGCAAACCATGTCCAAATTGCCTTCTCACTGTGCGGGAAGACATTTGCGATGGATCAGTTAAGGTACACCAAGAGAGATCGTATGACAAATTGTGGTTTCCACTAGAAACTAGGACAAGTGACGTGCCAAATGCTCGCTCTTTATAAGAAGAAAACTTCGACCAATCTTGGGAAAGTAGAGATATCCGAGCTGTCAAAGGTGTGGAGAATGCTCTGACTTTTGGTACAGAGAACCCGGCACTAACCTCTGATGCTTGACCGTAGCCATAAGCAACAGAAGTATCCCATAAATCCCCATAACCAAACAAATTTTTCAGCTTTACTGATCCTTCTAGAGACCAAGACCTAGCCTACAGAAGCACTTAAGGTCATCAAAAAGCAAATAGAGACATCACGCTAACTCTTCTTCAACAAAAGCATCCAAAACTGGAATAAGAAGCATACAAAGTTACTTAGCAGCAGGTATAGACACTTGACAAAAGAGTTTAGTGTTTACTTTCGATTTTTTATTTTTTAACATTTTCCAATCAGGATTTTCAAGTTCAATCAAGGGGATAATAGTAGAGTTTGGTTACTATACATGACAAAGAACAAAAGAGTGGTTTTCAAATTCTAAACCAAAAACGACAAAATGTGTGTGGCAGAATTGACTCTTGACTGTTAGAATTTCCTTCATATGTATTTTTTCTTTATTCGAATATTACTTTCCTGACTGGCTGTATGATACATACATGATATTGCATCTTTGCCAAAGCCAAAAAAGTCGTTCTTAAAATAGCAACCAAAGGTTCAGGAACTCCGACATCAAAGAGATTTTTCTTGAACTGAAGGAGGCACATGAATTGCTGATGGATACTTACTTTTCATATGTCTGTAGGAATATCCCATGATTTCCATCCATTTGTATTCTTTTTAATCCCCAGTTTTGAAAATTCTTTGATTATTACAGTTTGAAAGTAAAGGCAATATTCATTATTGCTTACAACTTTCAATTACTTTCATCTCATGGTAATATTTCTTAATATGCACGCATCAAGTGTGGCACTGTCACTAGCATATTCTCTATGTATATGTAGAAAGGGATATAACAATATATTTAAGTTCAATGCTATATAACACCTATATCATGCATCAAAACCTAGTTTTATACTAATTTTATTTTTCTCCTCCATTTTCATCTCAGTTCCACATTCTCATCCTCCCATAAAGTCGCTACACAAAAACGTCCAGGAATACTTCCATCCCAACAAAATTATACCACTTGATATTCACAATTTTACACAGTCCATTGGCATATTCCAAGACCAAACAAATAAATTTCGCATGTTCATGTTAAACAATAAATTAAAGATAGCACAAACAATAAATTGGTACCTCGGGTTTAGAAAAAAGCCCAATATCTCCCTTTAGTGAGTTCGTAGACTCAAAAACCTCGACAATAACATTGGCCGTGCCGGGGAGTTCAGGTGGACCAGTGTCAAGAGTAATGCTAACGGAATCAAAAATATCAAGCCGCTGCAGCTTAGCGTTGGCATGCGCGGCAGCGCGTAGCAGCTGCTGGACAGTCGTGGCCTTCTTGAGGAGATCGTCCACCTCGGACTCGATCAAGGATTTCTTGGTCTTGGTATTGCCCTTGATTATGAAGTCATGGACCCGGATGGGGACTCGCTCATTGGATAATCGCTGGACAAGGGCCTCCATTCTGGTCGGATCTAAGTGAATTTGAGCCTCTGGAGTCATGGGTTCCGGCTCTTCTTCTTCGAAGTCATCGGCTTCTTCTTCTGCGATATCCACGAAGTCTTCTGGGTTGTCGGATTCAAAGGTGGGGATATCGGGTACCGGGATTCCAGGTTGGCCCAAATGGGGGTCGAAGTCTGGTGAGGCTGGCATGGAGGGAGTAATTGTTTCTATAATCTACCCAGAGAAAGAGAGGACAGCGGCGTGCTGCAGCGATCTGCGAGCGGGAGTAGAGCTCACTGACAGGAAAACGGCAACTCAATTAAAGATTGGTGAGAAAAATGTTGTTTTGAAAATGGCTAAACTCCACAATATCCTTATATCTTGGTCAAACTGTCAGAAATCTCATACCTTTAAAAATAGCACAAAACTGTCCGTTTACTAATAAAAAAATTATAAAATAACAAATATAACCTTCTATTTAAATGAAATAAAAATAAAAAACTATTTACAATCATAGCTTCAAAATTTTTAAAAAATTACTAGTGGATCACAAATAAATAATTAAAAAGTCAAAACTAATAAAAAAACTCAATTCACCGCTATGGGGTCACCGACTTCTTCGACTCATTCCACCACCTTCCTACCACCAAAGTCGTCGAAAACTACCACCGCACCAACTGTCTCATCCCACAAACACACTCCAAGCAACTACCAAGCCAAACATTACTAGAGAGAGAAATATTGGCCAATGTTGGAATTGGTTCAAAAAATAATCGAAATTAACCGAAAATTGGTTAAGTGTAAAACTGGAAAAATAAATAAGTGTGACTTCGTGTCAATTTCGGTCAAATATCTGGACTTGATCCGATCTTCAAATTACAAAAATAAATAAACCAACTTATTCTACTCATCGAGTAGATCGTTGTGGTATATTTGAAATCTCAAAACCAATTCCGGATGATTGAGAAATTGCGATCCAAAATTGAAAGAAATAAAGTATTGCAACTTTTCGAAAAGATGCAGGTTTTGGCCCATACTACTTCATTTGCACCCTTTCTACATCTACAAATAGGACTCTATGGACTTGGTATTGAATACATCATTGCATTGAGTATTTATTCTTCTCTTGCAATTCATCGTTCTCGTAACAATTCTTTGTAGAGGAAAAATTTCGTCAAAGTTTCACCATTCTTGTGGTTTGAAGTGCTCCTACCACAAGTGTGTATCCGTTGTATCTTCGATGACATTTGCCATTCAACCGTGAGCAACATAGCGGGGCAACTTGTCTTAAAGAAAGAGTTGTACTCACCTCGAATTTCTTTTTCTACTCCTTCTTATTTCATTTTGATTTTGTGTGGTCGTTTTAGTCATATACTTTGTGTCCTTACATTGTGTTCTAATTACGTTCCCGCGGGTTGGCCCATACTACTTCATTTGCACCCTTTCTACATCTACAAATAGGACTCTATGGACTTGGTATTGAATACATCATTGCATTGAGTATTTATTCTTCTCTTGCAATTCATCGTTCTCGTAACAATTCTTTGTAGAGGAAAAATTTCGTCAAAGTTTCACCATTCTTGTGGTTTGAAGTGCTCCTACCACAAGTGTGTATCCGTTGTATCTTCGGTGACATTTGCCATTCAACCGTGAGCAACATAGCGGGGCAACTTGTCTTAAAGAAAGAGTTGTACTCACCTCGAATTTCTTTTTCTACTCCTTATTTCATTTTGATTTTGTGTGGTCGTTTTAGTCATATACTTTGTGTCCTTACATTGTGTTCTAATTACGTTCCCGCGGGTTATAACTTTTGCTTACAATAATAGTGTTTTGACTACGCTCTTGCGGGTTGAAACTTTGTTCATTTACAACATATATAATCATTATACCCTTAAAATAAATACCCGGAACAACAAACTTAAGACAAATATTTACATCTATGATTGTTGTTATTTTAAACACTCTACTTTGGAATAGTTTTCATGCACTATTCATTTTTCTCGTTTTTACTACGTAGAACTTCTATTTGCATAATAGAAATGACTTCCGTTGAGTCTAATACAAGTCAAACCGAAATGGAAAAATTGGTCCCCCGTAGAGTAAATAATGTGGCTCCTTTAATGGCGATACCAATTCAAACTACGTCAATCCCACACCGGGAGAAACCAAAAAAATCGGTGGCGTAGACTTTAAGAGATGGCAACAAAAGATGTTGTTTTACCACACTACAATAAATCTGGCTAAGTTTCTTAAGGAAAATCGTTCTCGTCATACAAGGAGAAAACAATCGGGAGTTGATCATTGCATAAAAACATCCTTAATGGATTGGATAATACACTAAATGATGTGTACAGTTCGAAAGACTCGACTAAGGATCTATGAGATTCGTTGGAAAAGAAGTACAAAATCGAGGATGCTGGAACCAAAAAGTTCATTGATGGTAAGTTTTTGGATTACAAAATGGTGGATTCAAAAACATTGATCAGTCAAATGCAAGAGATCCAAGTCTTATTGTACGACATCCATGTCGAAAAAAAGGAACTGAGTGAGTCATTCCAAGTTGCTGGTATCATTGAAAAACTCCCTCCTTGTGTGGAGAGATTTCAAAAACTATCTCAAACACAAACATAAAGAGATGAACTTGGAAGAGTTGATCGTCCGCTTGAGCGTTGAGAAAGACAATACGAAGACAGAAAAGAAGCCTATTGTTCAACTTGGAGCAAATTTCATTGAAATAGAGCCAAAGGTCAACAGAAGTGAAAGATCTCTGGTGATGCACCGCGTAGAGATAACTCCAAGAAAGCCAAAAAGTTTAAAGGAAAATGCTATAATTGTGGGAAGATCGGACATCGCTCAAGCATCTGTCAAAAACAAAAGAAGAATGCACAAGCCCACATGGTCGAGAAGGACACCCTATCAGAAGGAATACAAGAGATGAGCCTCTTTGCAGTTGTGTTTGAGTGAAATATGGTGGCAACATAAAGAAATGGTGGATTGACACTGATGCTACCTGCCACGTATGTGCTGATAAGGGAATGTTCTCTAACTATCAAGAATTGAATGGGGAACAACTTTTCATGGAAAACACTGCAAGTTCCAAGATCGAAGGACAAAGCAAAATCACATTGAAGATGACATCCGGGAAAGAACTTGTCCTTAACAACGTCCTACATGTGCCAAACATACGCAAGAATTTAGTATTCGGGGCTCTACTTAGTAAAAATTGTTTTAAACTTGTATTTGTGTCTGATAAGTTTGTGTTATCCAAGAATGACATGTATGTAAGAAAATGTTGAATGTGTGATGGAATGTTCAAGTTGAATGTTCTAACTATTGTTACTTGCTTAAGTTATCATATTTATAGCATGGTCGATTATGACACGTGAATTATAAATAATGCGCAAACTTATGAATCAAAATTTAATTTTGGCGTTTAAAATCAATCCTAATCACAAATGTCATGTATGTGTTGAAACAAAAATAGCTAAAACACCGTTCCATTCGATACAATAGAACACAATACCTCTAGAACTAATCCATAGTGATATATGCAATTTGAAATTCGTACAAACTAGAGGTGATAAGAAGTACTTTGTAACTTTCATCGACGATTGTAAAAGGTATTATTATGTCTTTCTTTTAGGAAGTAAAGACAAAGTGTTGGATGCCCTCAAATTATACAAAGCTGAAGTTGAAACGTAACTTAACAAACGAATTAAAAATATTCGTAGTGATAGAGGAAGTGAATATGGGGCACCATTTGAAGAACTCTGTTCCGAACATGGAATCATTCATCAAACAATGACACCTTACTTTCCTCAATAAATGGCATTGCAGAACGAAAAAATAGAATGCTTAAACGAATGATGAATGCAATGTTGATAAGTTCGGGTTTACCTCATAACTTGTAGGGAGAAGTCATCTTAATAGCAAATCATCTTCTTAACAGGATACCCCATAAAAAAAGGACGAAACTCCATATGAGTAATGAAAATGTCATCCTCCGTCCTACCAACACTTAAAAGTGTAGGGGTGCTTGGTAAATGTTGAAGTTCCGAAGCCTAAACAAATAAAAATCGAACCTAAAATGATTGATTGCATATTTATTAGATACGCTAATAATAGTAGTGCATATCTTTTCCTTGTACACAAGTCCGAAATTCAGGATGCAAACGAGGGGTATGATAATTAAATCAAGGAATGCAGCATTCTTTGAAAATGTATTTCCTTGCAAAGATAAGGAAATTGAAAGTTCAAATAAGAGAACTTATGAAATTACGAAAGGATCTTCAAGTGAGGAAGAACTAAGGCGTAGTAAACAAGCTAGAATGTCCACATTCTTTGGTCCGAAATTTCTAACCTACATGGTAGAAAATGACCCGAAGACTTTCGAAGAAGCTACGTCTACTCCGAAAACACCACATTGGAAGGAAATTATTAATAGCAAGAAAGATTCCATAATGCAAAATCATACATGGGAGTTTGTTGATTTAGCTCCCGAGAATAAGCATTTAGGATGCAAATGGATATTCAAGAAAAAGTTGAAGCCGGATGGATCCATTAACAAGTATAAGGCTAGGTTGGTTGCCAAAAGGTATAGACAAAAAGAAGGATTTCACTTCTTTGATACATACTCACCCGTAACTAGAATCACGTCCATAAAGTTACTAATTGTAATTGCGGCAATACATAACCTTGAGATACATCAAATGGATGTTAAAACAGCAATCCTAAACAGTGAGTTAGAAGAGAAAATATACATGGAGCAACTTGAAGGGTTCATTTCTTCTAACCAAAAGCACAAAGTTTGTAAACTCTTTAAGTCTTTATATAGATTGAAACAAGCTCCAAAACAATAACACCAAAAATTTGACAAAACAATGTTGTCAAACGGATTCAAAATAAATGAATGTGACAAGTGTATATACGTGAAAAATACACCAAATGTTTATGTAATAGTATGTCTTTACATAGACGATATGTTGATAATGGACAATAGTCACGAAGTGTTGCTCAGCACCAAGAGACTGTTAATGAAGCACTTCAGCATGAAAGACATGAGTGTAGCATATGTGATTTTAGGAATTGAAATCACTAAAACGTTGAAAGAACTTGCATTTTTCCAATCACATTAGATTGAAAAAGTACTTAAGAAATACAAAGTATTTGAGAAAAGTCCTTCACAAACCCCTATTGACCTAAGTTTGTACTTAGTCAAAAATGAGGGAAAATGCGGTCACAACTAAGGTATTCACAAGTTATAGGTAATTTAATGTACATTACGAATTGTACTCAACCGGACATTGCCTTTGCCATGAATAAACTTTACAGATACATGAATAATCCAAGGCATGAT